TATTTGTGCAATGTAAGTGGTTGATGTCCAGTTTTTAGGGAGTGCATGGATAGTATTTAGGGAGATTACAGAGAGTATATATGCCTATAGTATATGGGCACGCTATACAATGAGTCGTATATGGGTACACTGTGAAACATGTGTAGGTAGTATATGTAGGGTGTAAAGAGTATATGTAGTGGTGAAGCTATACATATATATATATATACATACTACACACAGGTATATAATGTTAGTTGGGAATTCACACTTAGGTAGTATATTTATAAAAATTGTATATATCTATATGTAAATACTTGAAGATACATACTGCATCCAAGCAGATAGCAATCAGAGGTTTGGGGGGTGGAGTGGGGGCTCCATACTATTGGGCTGTCCGGGGACCGGGTTCATCCAATGTGGGCCCCCCAGTTAGAAATGGATTTATAAATCCCATTAACTATAGTTCGAAGTATCATAAACCATAGTTACAAGTATTGGAGTTATAAACCAACTTAGCTATCTAGGGGGTCCCACATACATCGTCTGTGCACCTATACGTATACACTATCTATGCCAAGTCTTAATGTACATGTGATATGTATCAACATATTCACTCATGACTGGAAAAAGTGGCACCACAGACATATACATATTTAAGAAAGTAACTACTAACAAAGTAAGCCAGAAAGCAAGTAGACAAGCAGGCAAGGAGGGAAGTAAGGAAGTAAGGAAGTAAGTACGGAAAAAAGGAAGTAAGGAAGTAAGTGAGTAAGCAAGTAAATAAGTAAGGAAGGAAGTAAGAAAGTAAGCAAGGAAGCAAGGAAGAATACATGCATGTATGTATGTACGTGCGTATGTACGTACGTATGTATGGATATATGTCTGTATGTATGTGATAGCTCACGTTATTTTATATGTTTCACAGAAAGCAAAAGGCCAGCTTTGTTTCAACCGAGGACACCACACCCAGCTCGCGGAAGAGTGCCAAGGCGTCCTAGTGGAAGTCCGAGGTTAGAACCAGGAATGCTTCACCAACTAAACAAAAATATGTGGATAGAACAAGAAACATGTGGGGGATTCTGAGCGCGTAACTAACAAATATGTTGACAGCTTAGGTTCTTTTAACAACAAGCAGAAGGGAACTGTATCAATATAACATTTATATAATTATATATCTATAACATGAAACGAGTAATCAAGATATGCTGAACACAATAGGGATGCTCAATGAAATCAACAGAAGAGGGAATGTAACCGATGCATGTAACTGATGCAAACATAAGTTTACTAGCCGAATGAAAAAGGGGATAGATCGGATAGACAATCGATCAAGAATATATAACCAGGAAATCGGAGTGCAACTAAAACGGGTTATAGTAATAGAAAACATGATAGGATATGAGGTGGCGTCAATCCACCGTAGGATTCCCTGCGAATGGTGAGAGGGATCACTTTGTAAAAAAAACATCCTGGCCAAACTGATGGTACAAGTATGTCATAGTAAGTTTCTCACATCATACACTTGCCGAATCCGATTTGTTTGGTACTCTTAAGGATGAAAATCTGCCAGTCTGTGGTGTTGCGTGGACGTCAAATGATGCTGGATGTGCTCCCCTGCAGTCCTAGCCACAAACCAATATTGCAGCCATGAGCATCAAATCATCTTGAATTTTTAAAAAAAAAAAACAACAAACAAAGCCGCATACCCCCTTCCTGCTGTACCATTGCAAGAAAATGTTCGAATGTCAAATTGATCTATCACCCCCAAACTAACCGGGCCCACCAAAGACTGAAATCGTCATAGATCATAATGGGTTGTGATGTAACAACAAATTCATTGGGAGGTGATATATGTGCATGGGATCAATGTTCATTTGCTATACTTCCATAGTGTTGCGATTCATTCTTGAACGTGTGTCAGCTTCCATAAATGTTCATCTATCAGATCTATATTTATTCGGACATGTTTTAGTATGCATAGTCAACGTGTGGTCTAATATACTGTGGGAATCTAACAGAATAATATAACACTGATTTATTAAAATAAAAATGCTAGTGGCAATAATAACACTGATAGTGATCGTCATCATTATAATCAGTAGTCGCAGCAGCAGCAGCAGCAGGAGGAGGAGGGGGAGTAGTAGTAGTAGTAGTAGTAGAAGTAGCAGTAGCAGTAGCAGTAGCAGTAGCACTGGCAGTAGCAGTGGCAGTAGCAGTAGGAGTAGGAGTAGCAGTAGCACTAGGAGTAGGAGTAGGAGTAGCAGTAGTAGTAGTAGTAGTAGAAGTAGCAGTAGCAGTAACACTAGCAGTAGCAGTAGCACTGGCAGTAGCAGTAGCAGTAGCAGTAGGAGTAGGAGTAGGAGTAGCAGTAGCACTAGGAGTAGGAGTAGGAGTAGCAGTAGGAGTAGTAGTAGTAGTAGCAGTAGTAGTAGTAGTAGGAGTAGTAGTAGTAGTGGTAGTGGTAGTGGTAGTGGTAGTGGTCGTGGTGGTGGTGGTGGTGGTGGTGGGTGGTGGTGCT